CAAAATTTCACTTGTAGACATATTATCTGATAATAATGTAAATATGTCAACAACTTGCAGAACATTCGCATATCAGGGGTTGCCTGACTACACCATGTTGGCTACCCTTGATTAAATGACGCTACAGTAGAACCTCTACTTATGGACGTACAGTGGTGCCTCGCAAGACGAAATTAATCCGTTCCGCGAGAGTCTTCGTCTAGCGGTTTTTTCGTCTTGCGAAGCAAGCCCATTGACGGATTAGCGCTATTAGCGCTATTAGCGGTTTAGCGGCTATTAAAGGCTTAAAGGCTTAGGGGATTAGCTGCTAAAAGGCTATTAAAGGCTATTAAAGGCTTAGCAGATTAGATAAAGGGGGGGGGAAGCGAAAAAAAAATATCAAGACTCGCAAGACATTTTCGTCTTGCGAAGCAAGCCCATAGGGGAATTCGTCCTGCGAAGCAACTCCAAAACGGAAAACCCTTTCGTCTAGCGGTTTTTCCGTCTTGCGAGGCATTCGTCTTGCGGGGCACCACTGTAATCAGTTCCAGGGGTCCGTCTGTAAGTTGATCCGGGTCACTGGTAGAAGCGCCATTGTGTGCAGGCGCATTGGGCAGCAGCACACTTCTGCGCATGTGCAGATGGCAGAAGCCGCATCTGCGTGTGCACAAATCATGGCAAACCCGGTATTTACTTCCGGGTTTGCCGCGGTTGCAACTTGGATCAGGCCCAAGTAGAGGCAGTTGTAAGCAGAGGTTCTATTGTATTGTGTTAGCAATTTACATACGGTGGTATGTAATCCACCGTTCCGGAAGTCCGTTCTTAAACCAAAGCATTCTTAAACCAATGTGTGCTTTCCCATAGCAGCGGGGGACTCAGTTCACAAAAGGAACACACTCAACAGGAAGCAGAACATGTTCTGCTTCCAAGACAAGGTTCACAAACCAAAACACCTACTTCCAGGTTTGCAGCATTCTTAATCCAATTTGTTCATAAACTAAACTGTTCATAAACCAAGGTATCGCTGTATTTACATCATTTTAGGTGATATGCCCACAAGGGAGTTTTGATGACAATGGGTTAGCTAAGTTTTACTCAGAGTAGATCCATTGAAATTAATGGACATGGCTAAGATAGGTCAATTAATTTCATTGGGCTTACTCTGGCAACACTTAGCTGAGTACCACACCTTATTTCTTCTATACTCTGTGAAGCTTAACCTATTTTTCTTACTTTTATTCTGCCCTCCCCTGTACCACTTCCTTGTTTAGACTATAAAGCTAAGTTATAGAGAACAAATATTGAATATTTGGGTATATCACTCCTACAGTAATTACATATTGCTATTATTAACTCCTGTTATTAATTATATTACTTCTGCAGTAATCGTTATTATAATGATTTCAGTGGGGGAGATCTGAGCATAAGCTTAACTCACCAGATGAAATCAATGAAACTTTGACAGTGCAATCCTAGGCTTGTCGGCCCAGAAGTAAACCCCATGGAGTTCAGATAAGTATATATAGGATTGCAGCCTGAAGCACTTGACTTCAGATGGATCACGACTCCCCACACAGCAAACAAGCTTAAGTTACGTATAACAAGTGCAAGGGATTCAAAATCATACTACTCTTAATTGCTGGACTTCAACCTGTTCGAGAAATAATAATAATAATAATAATATCAGAATCTGAATCTTCGGTGTCAGACGAAAGATCACAAAACAGTACTGAGTTAATTCTATATTACTGAGTAGTAATATAGAATCGTGTGTGTGTATGTGTGTGTGTGTGTGTGTGTGTGTGTGTGTGAAATATCAGCTTCATTGAAATAGAGATCTGGGTCACGAGATATCATTAGATGCTCGGGAATGGGCTAAATATACTTCAATAAACCACAAGCGTTAACCTTAAAGAAAAATTTTATTATGCAATGGTATCTCATACCCTCCAACATTTCTCTGATGAAAACAGGGATGTCCCCTCCAACATTTCTCCAATGAAAATAGGGGCATCCTAAGGAAAAGTGGGACATTCCGGGATCAAATCAGATACCAGGATGGTTTCTGTAAATCCAGGACTGTCCCTGGAAAATAGGGACACTTAGAGGGTCTGGTATCTAACATCAGCAGAGCTCAATTTTATATACAGAACAACAAGCGTTGTATACTGGTATTGTAAAATGAATAACGCTGGAATGGTCCAATATATATACATATATATTCTGGTGCATGGTTATGAAAGAATTAGAAAACATCCAACTCATGCAGCCAATTTTTATTTTTAAAAATCCATGGAACGCTTGCACCGCTTGGAATATTTAGTCCATCCTTGATTATCTTGGACATATCTTTAATTCTTGGCCTTTTTCTGCCTTGTGTAATCAAGGCTTCTACTGGCATGCAAGGACAGAAAGAAAGCAAAGCCTCCAAATACCCTCTGCAGAGGTGGATCAGCTGGAATACGCCTACACTAACGTTAGAGGTCAGGGAATCACCTGCACAATGCTTCTTATTCCTCCCAAGCAAAGAGCCTGATCAGTGTAGCTTTTACCTGACTATTCCTGTTAGATTAAAAAGAAGAACTACACTCTCAACCTCTCCGGTGCTTAGATAGGAGCGATAAATCATAAATATATGCTAACATGATTTCCTCTTATCTGACACAGTGAATTAAGACGGTTGAGCACAAACATTTATAGCGGGAATGACAAACGCTTCCTTTTAGGTATGCAACATCAAAACCATTAAGTTTTATGGTAAAGAACATTTAAAGCTAACGCAAGCAATATACATCAGTGCATTAGTGCACTAAGATGTAGTTGCATGTGTGCACAAATACGCCGTGTGCACACAGGAAGACGCTGACCATACGAATTAAGAGAAAGCTCTACACTGTTTGAAAATGATTTGCCAGAAGGTCTGGCTCTGATGCAGTTCAAAATTATGAGAAGGAGGCTCATCTCTGTTCACCCCAACCCTCAGGCTCACATGGTCCTCTCCCTTGCTTCTCTCCTGGCACAGCTACAACCCTTTCACTGTTGCTGTTTAATTGTCCTTTGTTGCGTCATCCAATCCTGAGGTCAATCTAAACTATGGTTTGTGCAAACCAGCCCCTTACAGTGGCTGATGGAGCTAAATTATTATTTGACTGCATCGGCCTATCGTTCTGCTGCTTTATTTTGTATTGGAAAATTAACGAGATGGAAGTGAAGGTTTCTGACCTCGTCACAGCCACTTCAGAGGAGCAGAGGGGAGAACTTCCTAGACCAGCTTCGTTTTTATAACATCAAATCATGGATTAGCAAAAGGATGGGGAGCCTTAGATGTTCTAAGTCAATGGTCAGAGATTATGGGAGTTGTAGCAACAGCTAGACAGCCACAGGTTTCCCTGCCCTGATTTAGTGTTACATCTAAACCAAACCAATGTCTATCAGTGTTGTCTGGTCAGTGAAAATTATCTGTGAACTTCTACTTTTGACAGCCTTATTTATTTATTTATTTATTTATTTATTTTTAAACTCCCTGGCTTGCATTGCTCTTTTTGTTCAGGCAGAATCATATGACAAACCACAGAAATAATAAGCAACTTGAAGATTCCCTCTCAGAACGGGATCATGGAAATGAGATTTATTTGATTGGATCAATATTTGGGATTTCATGGAGGAGAAGGGATTCAAATGCGCCTTTGAAATTTTTACTTTAATGTGTTCATTTTCTTTTCAATGGCATGCCAAACGTCCTAGGATTTAGAAACCTGACAGGTAATAGGGAGAATGTGTAGCCAGGAGTCTTCTTGGAAAATCCCACCCCAATTGATGGCCCTAACTTAAATCAACATAAATCATTTAGTGAAATATTTGGTCGAAAAATGCCCAGGGCATGGATTCTGAATTACTTTCCACCTTAGTCCTTTTAAGCTGCTGATGAAATTACTGGCGAGCAGTAATCAGTACTGTTTTTCTTCCCAAGGTTAAAAACAGCAACTACAAAAGACCAAGGTGTGCCATTGTGAGTTTTTCATGGTGCAATTTGTTGCACAAGCTTACGTGTATTTACCTGGAAGTAAATCTTTCTGTGGTCAGTGGATGTTAAATCCCTGGTAAATTTGCTTAGGATTGCAGCCTCAGTTACTGAGAGTCCGAAGATAGCATCATAATGAAAAACAGGTTTATAAAACTCAGGTGTGTATTTAGATAGATAGATATTAGTTTCGACAGAATCCGGAGTTCCAAGCAAACAGGACTGTGTGACCAGAAGGGAGTGTTCAAAGCATTGAGAATAGCCTTCACTTGGTTGAAACACAACCGGTACCCTATAACAAGGGTGGGGAACCTCAGCTCCAAGCTTTTCTGTCTGGCCCTCAGGATTCTCCGAAGGTCGCACCATTTTTGGCTGCCCTCCATGGTCTCTCTCAAGCACTTTTGCCAGGCTAGAATGTGTCCTTGCTTCATCATCATCATCATCATCATCATCATCATGCTGGGATGACCCATTTAGCTAGGATGACCCTGGCAACTGTGGGCAGCTTTGAAGACATATAAAGACATAATAAAATGTCAAGCATAAATAATAACAATCTGATCCAATACAAAAAAGTCACAATAGCTTTAAAATAAAAACTTGTATCACTTAAAGCAATACTCAATAATCAATTAGTATCTAATACAGTGGTACCTTGGGTTACAGACGCTTCAGGTTACAGACGCTTCAGGTTACAGACTCCACTAACCCAGAAATAGTACCTCGGGTTAAGAACTTTGTTTCAGGATGAGAACAGAAATCGTGGGGCAGCAGCAGGCGGCCCCATTAGCTAAAGTGGTACCTCAGGTTAACAACAGTTTCAGGTTAAAAATGGACCTCCAGAATGAATTAAGTTCTTAACCTGAGGTACCACTGTAGTAAACAGCAGAATTAAATGGCAGCAAATAATAATGAAACAGTTTACACTTATCCGTTACAATAAAGAATTACTAAACTATAATCAATCAAAATAAGAGCGAATCCCAATGCCTAAAATACTACAAAACATACAACTCATGTAAAAGGATCAAAGTGAGAAACAAGGATACGCAACTTATAAAATCCCTGAACACCTCTTCTCTCTTCCCAGCTGCTTCGGCTGTTCCCTTGGTCACCTGGCTGGAGGATGGAGAGATGTAGAGCGGGAATTAGTGTAGAAACCTCGGACTTCGGTGTGGCTGGAATGTAGTGAACTGGAATGTGCTTCCTGGAATTTGGCTCACTGCGGAAAGGTCAGAGTCACATCTGTTGCTCTGCCTCCTTTGACATCTGACTTGGCCTAATTTGGCTCTGGTTCTACACAACACCAACCTGCAGCCCTCGGAGAGTTACCTGAGGGAATGCAGCCTGCGGTCTGAGTAAGGCTTCCCTACTCCTGTGTTACCTATATCTGCCAATAAATCCCATCCTCTTGGATCCAACCATTTGTTCCACTAATCACTAGTGCCGTATATTTCAATATTTGCCCTGCAAATATTGTTGGAAGCTCTTTTGACTTGTCTGGGAGAAAGCAGGCGGATTGGGAACAGGGACATAGTGATGGGACCCCGGCCCCAGACACTGTTGTACACAGTTGGTTGGTTAACCAACAGGCATTGCCTCCTCAGCTGTTTCCCCATTTGAAGCCCTGGCAAAGTCCCTTCCATGAACCTGCTTCTATGAGCCAGTGTGGTGTAGTGGTTAAGAGTGGTAGACTCGTAATCTGGTGAACCGGGTTCGCGTCTCCGCTCCTCCACATGCAGCTGCTGGGTGACCTTGGGCTAGTCACACTTCTCTGAAGTCTCTCGGCCCCACTCACCTCACAGAGTGTTTGTTGTGGGGGAGGAAGGGAAAGGAGAATGTTAGCCGGTTTGAGACTCCTTTGGGTAGTGATAAAGCGGGATATCAAATCCAAGCTCTTCTACATCAGTGCATGCTCCTCTGCCTTTCCTTGGTAGCAGAAATGGCTGGCTACAAGCTGCCAGGACACTGGGGAATTGAAAATGGTGGCTCAAAGCTGCCTCTCTCTCTCTCTCTCTCTCTCTCTCTCTCTCTCTCTCCTCCAATTGCAACCCCAGGCTGTTCCAGATTTGAGGAAGCCCTTGGGCAAAGCTACTCAATTGCAGAAGGGCCCAAGGTTGGCTCAAGAATACCAGGATCTGATTCCAGCCTATTACAGCTTGTTCACATGACAAGATAGGAGCTTCCATCATCCATCAACTTGACCCTGATCAACTGATGGGCTGTGGGAGTGTGCCTTGCCCCAAGTTCAAGGAAGGATTTTAAACCTGAAATATACTTGGAGTCGAGAGTGGATTTCTTGCTCTTTATTCAGCTCATAGTGGTGAGGAGGAATGGAAGTTCCCCCAGAATGTCTGCTTTATATACATTATTTACACAATGGGCCCCACATGATTGGCTAATTTCCGGGATTCACCTGTAGGCCAATCAGGTTGCGGATTCACTTCCACCTGGAGCTGGATTGGGTGGCTCCTGTGGACCAGTCAGACTGCTGCATTCTGGACCCTATTGTTCTAGGACCAATCAGACTGCTGCCTTTTGGATCCTATTCAACTCAGTACATAACAAAAAAAACCCTGATGAAACAGAGAAACAACTGGTTCTGATCAGCTGATGGGCAGTGGGAGAATGCCTTGCTCCAGGATCAGGAAGGAATTTGCATTGCAATCCCTGCTAAAATGGAGGGGAGGGAACCATCTTTAGCAGTGATTTCAAAGCAAACCCCTTTGTGATCCCAGAGCCAGCCTTCAAAGAGGCTTGTCACCTGATGTCATTGTAGCAGCAGGTGATTGACAGGTGGGTGGTGCCCGGCACCTGTCAAATCTGGCCCAGGAGGGGTTGGGCAGATACAGATTTGGCTCAGGGGGTGGCGAGAGAAAAGTGTTCTCACTTCTGCGCTAGAAGGCAGCACAGAGGCAGGACCTGGGAACTGCCTTTTTTATTTATATAGTTGATTGTTATGAGGACAAAGGAAAATGCAAAATATTGTGAAGCCTTTTGCAGATAAGTGTCATAAAATCTCCGCTCAGCATGATACCCACAGGTTAACCTCACTTTCCTCACTTCCCCCAAACGATAAGCCGAGCTCTGTAGAGGAAGGGTGTGAGAAAATGGAACAAATAAGACAATCATAAAAAAACATTTTTAAAAAGCATAACAAGGACAATTATTGATAATAATAGGAAGTGCAATGATCTCGCTGGTTCTTTCAAACTGCCTTATTCTTTCCCTAGAATAGGCAGCTGCCTAGGCTCTCACACATGTGACCAGTGTAGCTTTGCAGTTTTGAGGTCACATCATTAATTACAAAAAATATGTGTCTGATTCTCCACTCCATTACTCTGGTTTTATGCCAGTTATCATTCCACTAAAAGTTCTGCAGCTACACCGACATAAAAGAGGAGATTATAAATGATCCCCCCCCAAAAAATGTAACCCCGTTTTCCTCTTCCATGGAACTAGCATAATCTCCTCTCCTCTCCCCATCCTACACCACATTTGGGATTTTGAAATCCCAAAAGCATCAGAAAAAGGCCCTGGTGGTTTTGTGTGTGTTTTTTTAAAGCAAGTCGTCTTTTTCCAGTTTTATACAGAGTGCTGTAATATTCACACCAGTCCTTTGAAGTTACCCTGGACCACAGCTGATTTGGTGAAAACAGCACAGCAAAGGAACAACACAAAACATTAACTGAAAAGCCAGCTCTTTTCATTTGTTAATTGCCTGGCATGAATTGTTGTTGACACTGGTTTGTCCTCAGCTCTAAATATGTTAAAACCTCCTTTAAGAAAGAGGTTTCAAAGGATACAGTCATCACGGGGTATCCCATACATCCCTTGTGTTCAGATGGAACCCACCCACCCAAGTCAGAGTTCCTTACTTTCTCAAGAAACTGGAATTTATTGCCCTGAACCCTCCGAGTGCTTCCTTAAAGAGGCCTTAATTTTAGAACCCTGCCCCTCTCGGATGCCAGAAGGGACCCAAAATGATTAACACGTTGCAGAGGGGAGGAAATATGGGGTGAGAGCAATTAGCCCAGAATGTAACAAATCTAAAAATAAATTGGCTTCATTTTTGTCTCCCTTGCACCAGTGTAGGCAGAGCAACATTAATTAGTGTAATAGGACAATAGGAATTAAATTGGCTTGGTCACCAGATTTTTGCCAGACGGCTCCGCTGCTGCCGGTATTGCTATCCAACTTCAAAGATTTGGAAAGATGTTGCTGCAAACGCTGGAGAATAGAAACCTGTTTTTCATCAACCAGGCCGGCCTGACAAATTAAGTCTGTGGAGCCATTAGATTAAGATAAGAGCTTATCTCCTCGACTGACATTTATTCAGAGGTTTTTATACTGCTCAGCTAGTAATTAGAGTCGTTGAATTTTTAACACTGCTTTGTCCAGCCACTTGACAACTCAGAGTCCAAAAATATAGTGTTTGAGAGGGCGGTGCTCTTTTTTTCAAAAAGAGAGAGAGAGAGAGAGAAATTAACCCAAGAATACAAAATAATTAGCCTGCAAAGGGTTTTTTTGTTTCCAGAAAAGAACCGTGATGCTAAAGCATGCAGGAAGGTTTTAAGTGAGTCTGTCACGTAATCACTTGTATTCAAAATCTGGCAGCCCCCTTACATTAAGCCTTTAGGTAGGAAAGCTTAGGTATCTTTTCTCTCCAGGATCTATAATTTCTTTCAACCCATACATCTTGCAAATTCTAACATGTTACGAGGGCATAATCAAAACAGTGGCCCTAGTCATTAATGACTGCCTGCTGTTTTACTCGCCTAATTCGGTGTACAGGCTGTGATTTTTCCAGGGGACTTTCAAAAGGAATTTCGCTTCATACGGCTGATTTCACTGCAAAAGGTTTATTTTTCCTGCCCTAATTTTTTGTTATAATAGCAAACTGATTGCTCCACAATAGGCTGATATATTTGATTTGGATGCAGGGCTTTGAAGGCTGCTTGAGATTAGTAGATCTTACGGGTGTGTTTTAAGCAGCTCATTTTGAGTAATTTGGAGATCAGAATTGGAATAATAAATTAGTTGTTAAATGGGTGATGTGTTATTTATGGAAATTTGGATGGCTTGTTATGACTGCATCCCGTTAACAGTCCCCAATATATTGTTTACACCCTTCACTCAACATGCTAAGTTGGCTATCTTTAACAACACCACCCTCCCAGGAAAAAAACAACACACACACACACATACATACACAACATCTCAGAAATCATCTTGGAATAGAAAAATATGAGGCTCTTCTCCAACTAATCCATTTGCATGTTCACTCTTCCTCTTACTGAAAGGAAACAAGCCAGATTAGTAAGCAGTGGGTCTGAGGTGTTGCACCTTCATGGTTGATAGTCTGTGTATCACAGTGATGCCTTATGAAACAAGTGCAGCAGTTTATTTACCAAGGTTCAGACGCCATCTGCACTAGGCATGCAAAGCAGTATCAAACCACTTCAAACAGCCGTGGTCTGCTCCCGCCAAAATAAATTCTGTGACCCGTCGTTTGTTACACCTACAAAGAGTTGCTGGAAGACCCCTATTTCTCTCAAAGAGCTCCAGTTTCCCAGAGTTACTTGGGAAGAGAATTTGTCTGTGATTCCACTCTGGGGATTGTAGTTGCCTGTAGGGAATAGGGGTCTCCCAACTACTCTTAGCAGCAAACAAACAAGCTGCAATTCCCAGCATGCTCTGGAGGAAGTCGTGACTGTTCAAAGTGGCATGGTAATGCTTTGAATGCATAGCACAGATGGGGCCATATTCATTACAACATGCCTATAACCACTAGGTATGTTGGCCATCCGGGGGAAAGATCTCGACACACACTCCAGGCACTTTGGCCTAGGGGTTAGAGTGTCAGACTAGGAACGAGGAGGCCCACATCCAAATCCCTATTCAACCATAAGAGCTCACTAGCCTACCTCGCAACATTGTTGTTGTGGTGAAACGGGAGAGAAAGAGAACCATGTACACCACCCTCAGCTGCTTGGAAGAATCATTGGAGGATGGATGGTGGCTAACAGATTGAGGTTGAATCCTGACAAGGCAGAAGTACTGTTTTTGGGGGATGGGGACAGGTGGGTGTGGGGAACTCCCTGGTCCTGAATGCGGTAACTGTGCCCCTGAAGGACCAGGTATGCAGCCTGGGGGTCATTTTGGACTCACAGCTGTCCATGGAGGTGCAGATTAATTCTGTGTCCAGGGCAGTTGTCTACCAGCTCCATCTGGTACACAGGCTGAGACCCTACCTGCCCGCGGACTGTCTCGCCATTGTGGTGCATGCTCTAGTTATCTCCCACTTGGACTACTGCAATGCGCTCTACACTTTTGAAGGTGACGCGGAAACTGCAATTAATCCAGAATGCGGCAGCTAGACTGGTGACTGGGAGTGGCCGCCAGGATCACATAACACCGGTCATGAGAGATCTGCATTGGCTCCCAGTACGTTTCCGAGCACGATTCAAAGTGTTGGTGCTGACCTTTAAAGCCTTAAACGGCCTCAGTCCTGTATACCTGAAGAAGCATCTCCACCCCCATCATTCAGCTCTTCATTCCGATCCAGTGCCGAGGGCCTTCTGGCAGTTCCCTCATTGCAAGACAGGGAACCAGACAGAGGGCCTTCTCAGTAGTGGTGCCCCCCCTGTGGAACACCCTCCCATCAGATGTCAAGGATTTTTAAAAGACATCTGAAGGCAGCCCTGTTTAGGGAAGTTTTTAATATTTAATGCTGTGTTGTTTTTAACACTCGATTTGGAGCCGCTCAGAATGGCTGGGGAAACTCAGCCAGATGGGCGGGGTATAAATAATAAATTATTATATTATTATCATATATGCTAGAACTTTAGGCCTCTGCAGTTAAAATGTATTAAAGGGCTTTGTTGCCCTAGTACAACAAATCTACTTTAAAAGAGAATCTTGCCCTTTGTGGTTTGGTAAGTGATGGGGAACTGCATTGGAAAGGGGGGGTGGCTGGATGACTAATTGGAAGGTATATAAACATCCAGCAAAAAGAAAGAAAGAAAGAAATCAGGATGGATGCCGGACAAATGCTCATTGCAGTGTAACATCCCCATGAGCAAATCCAGATGAAGGCTCGATAAAGACCAGATATGATCTAACCTCTGCATTAGCTTTGCGCAAGCAAATCAGGAATGCTCCATAAACAGGCCATCTGGAGGGGCTCTCAGTTTCACCTTCATTCCTTAAACAGTGTTATTGACAATTCAAGCTGTCCGAGTGATCTGTGTTGGTTAGATCAAAAGAAAACTCTTGCAACACAGCTCAGTTATTACTACTTATAAAGCATTTTGCCTTCTAGTTTACAGAAGTCCTGAACTGCACATTGTAATGTTCCATAGTATGTGTTGCAAACTGGTATCTATAAGGCTTGCAGGGCCTCAGCTGCCAATGAAGATCAAAACTTTTTACAAGAAGTCAGCTGGTTCCGAAAGCAGTTGTGGCTTTCAAAAGTTGGCTACATGTAAACTGTTGGATAGTTTAGATGTGAGAAGACATTTCAGTAAAGAACAAACTCAGGATTTGCAAACAGATTATGATTTTAGGAATGAGATCTGAATTAATTGGGATTTGAATATTTGAGTATATAGACCCTGATTTTGCTGGACGTCAAAGGCAAGAGGTAGAACCCAGATCTCATTCTGCCGAATTGTTGAATGTTCACAGTATGCGTCCAGCAAATTTCCTCTTCTGAGTGTTCCAAAAAGATTAACAAGACTGTGGAATAAGCATTGGACTTCACAGCTGAAAAATAGGGTGGAGAATGCTAACACCGGTAGAATGACTATTTATGTCACAAGCCCATGCAATTATTTCTGGTTCCAACTGGCAATATAGGACTGTAATGTCCAAAGGAAAAATGTCTCCTTGGAAAGTTGCAGATTCTGTGATTACTTGCTCTTCCAAAGCTATTCCCTTTCCCAAAAATATTTGGAAGTTTCTCTAGACATATGTGGAATTCCATGTTTGGCATTTCTAATGTCTTTTTCATTCTGAAACAAACAGATGAGGAGGGATTGGGACCAAAGATCTTTTTGCATTTGCTTTTTCAGAGGGGCAATCTGGTTTGAAGTAGGCTCTGATCTCCTGCAGCAAAGTTTTCTTGCCAACAGACAGATTCCCTATCAGAAATGATATTGGTTGCAGCCTTCCACTCACTGCCCTGTTTCCACTGGCGTTAACGGAGCCAAGTGCAATGGCAGAACATGCAGAATACTCTCTGCCTCCTTCTTGTTTATGTTTCGCCATTGATCCAGTGGGTTTCAGTATGGTTAACGAAAACGATAAAAAGTCTTGTGTCAAATTCATGATGAAGCAGATGCATTGTGGCATACCCTTTTGTCAGCATCGTTGCCTGAGACATGGAGTTTCAAATAGAGCTTCAGATTAAGCTGTATTGATCCAAAACCAATCAGAAGGACAAGGGTCCCTCAGGGTGCCTGGATCACGGCTGAGGTCTTCCCCTTTGACCAGTGGCTGCTCTTTGCAGGTATGATATGGTTCGCCAGGCTTGGGAGATTCTTCAGTGTCCACTTCACTCGCTTTGCTGCAGAGCTTTGATCCCATCAACCATCATACTCCAAGGCTCACCTAGCAAGGGCATGAGAAGTTCACCCAGTCCTTGGCTGGGAAGCCACTGAGTGGCAGTGGCTGACATGCCCAGGAGATGCTGCCCTCAGTATGACAAGTGAGCCCACAAGCCCACGCTTCATTATTGGCTCTTTATTTGCAAATCTTATTATATTTCAATAAATATAACCATTCCACCAATACACTGGCTCTAGAGTCTTCTTCAGGGACGTGGGGGCAATATAAATATGCATTTAGTTGCTCACATATATGATAGAAAATTACACTGCCATAGGGTTTATGTCCTCTTACAGGATTGCATTTTAAATGGTTCCATTTTACAGGTGGACATTCCATTTTAGTAGTGAGATCGAGCACTGGGTAAGGCAGACAGTGAGCAGCAAAGCACAGAAAGGTGTGCGGTGTTGATTTATTTTACATGCCCAAATTTAGCTATGCAAAATACATAGATAGAAGATAGATAGATGATAGATAGATATAGATAGATGATAGATGATAGATGATAGATGATAGATGATAGATGATAGATGACAGAGATAGATAGATAGATAGATAGATGATAGATAGATAGATAGATAGATAGATAGAGATAGATAGATAGATAGATAGATAGATAGATAGATAGATAGATGATAGATAGATAGATAGATAGATAGATAGATAGATAGATAGATAGATGATAGATAGATAGATAAATAGATAGATAGATAGATAGATAGATAGATAGATGATAGATAGATCGATGATAGATAGATAGATATAGATAGATGACAGATAGATGATAGATAGATAGATAGATAGATAGAGATGGCTAGATATAGATAGATGATAGATACTAAAGACTACTTCACAGATTACAGTTTTCTAGCTGAGATTCCTCTCCAGTTAGGAAAACATGTGTTTACCAAAATGCGCAAAGCATCGCATGAGTATTTCTTATATGTCATGAATGCAGCAGCTGGGCATAAGTGAAAAAGCAACAACCACTTTTGCTACACTCCATGTATTACGATAAACACAGGTTTTCCTTCTTAGAGATTCTCTCTGTAAGAAAATTATAATGAATGAAGCATCTTCAAGATTGTTCAGAAATCCATCCAAGATGTCTCAAGGACACGTATCGACTCACTTGAATTCAGATGCTACATCTGGGAAATCTTGGTCAAACTAACCTGTTCAATTGTGCACGTGGCATTTGTATTGCTTACCTTAATGCAACTCTGGTCTCCTGATTTCCAGCTGTTTGTTGCATCCGGAACGCTCCATCTTCTCATGCTCCCGACAGTTGGGACATCATAATCCCTCTTCCTTTCCTGAAGCAATTTTGCAAAGTTTAAATATCAATGATGCTCCCCCCCCCTTGTTTTTCAAAGACATCACCAACATCTGCCCAATTAACGTTAAATCAAACAGGTGTGCACGTGTCGTAACTTAAACATTGTTTTATAAACAGCCCACCTGAAACATTGGGGTGTTGCAAGGCTGATTGAGCTATCAGCATAGGAAATGCTGACAGACGCACACCTCTTTACCCAGAAAGCCAGGCTCACTAACCCAAAGAGAAAAAACACTGCAACTGTTTCTAGGGATGCTGGAGAGCCTCACAGGCTCTCTCAGAGATACCCCCTCCTCTGCTTCCCCTGCTCAGTCCTGTGTGAGAGCCGAGATGCAGTGGCTAACAAAGTGATCAGCTGAGGCACCTACAGCTGATCAGCTGGTTCCAGGACACAACACATCCTCAACAGTGGCGTAGCGTATGTTGCCAGTGTCCGGGGCAAGGCAAGTATTGGCCGGGCAGCAGTGGCAATGGTGGTGGGGTAGGGTCTTCCCAGCAGGGAGAGGGAAGCGGCGGTGGCCATTTATTTTATTATTAGCGTTCATTTATTATTCTTATTTATTTTCTCATTTTTATCTCATTTTTATTATTATTCATTTCATGATTTGTTTACACCACTTGATTGTTTTTTTTAAAGAAAAAAACCTGAAAGCAGATTATTTTTCTTTTGAATTTTGGCACCCCACTCCACCCCACCCCCAAAAAATGTGTGCCTGGGGCAACAGCCCCACTGCCCCCCCCCCAACCCAGCTATGTCATTTATCCTCAATGCACTTCATTCAGGAGGTCACTCACATTGCCTTCGGTGCTCCATTCGAAGTTGTGGTGGTCTGCGTGCCGGTCTGGTAGCCCCAGCAAATGTTCAGCTGTGACGCCCTCTAGAGGCAGTGCTACTCAAAGGAGAGGAACCTTGGAAGCTGCCTTATTATGATGGGTCAAAACATTGGTCCATTTAGCTCAGTGATGCATGCACTGATTGCCAGAAGCTCTCTTAGTTTCCAGCACACTCACAGCCCAAGCTGGATATACTGGGAATTGAACCTGGAACCATGTACACTAGTGGTGAACTTAGGCCTAAACGTGGACAAAGTTGACCATATTGGAGGCAAGGGTTTTTTGTTTTGTTTTTAAGCACCTGATGTCTTGGCTCATAGGATAATCAGAACAGCCAATATTGCTGGCCCTCAAGTTCTTACTGTATTCAAAATGTAGTTGCCAACAGCCAGTGTGGTGTAGTAGTTAAGAGTTGTAGACTCGTAATCTGGTGAACCAGGTTTGATTCCCTGCTCCTCCACATGCAGCTGCTGGGTGACCTGGGGCTAGTCACACTTCTCTGAAGTCTCTCAGCCCCACTCACCTCACAGAGTGTTTGTTGTGGGGGAGGAAGGGAAAGGAGAATGTTAGCTGCTTTGAGACTCCTTCGGGTAGTGATAAAGCAGGATATCAAATCCAAACTCTTCTTCTTCTTCTTCAGTATTCCACCTTTAAGCTGCAATTCTCTACACACTTACCCAGGAGTAAGTCCTCTCGAACTCAATGAGACTTACTTCTGAGGAGACAAGGAAAGGATTGCTCTGCTTGCATGTGTTACAAGAGACCCCTGCTTCTCCCTCCACAGAGATTAATCTCCATGTTGGAAAAAGTAATTTACAAAGTGGCCTTTAGTGAGACTCTGTTTTATCAGTCTTATATTGGAGTGCCAAAGGATAATGTGGGACAACAAATACAGCCGAAGAGAAGTCATTTAAGAGATGGCATTCACATCAATACTCCTTGCTCGAGTCTGCAAACAATGCCACTATAGGACTGTGAATATCAACCCGTGTAATCCAGGTTGCAATATAAAAACCACCAATGAACAAGTTTTCATCTTGCACAAATATCACCCAGACGTTGAAGTGCAGATGATTTTCAAGCAATTTCCTTCTCTGCCATCACAAAATGAAATGTAACCAAACTCATCCATCGCATCTTGTTTGGAATAATAGACAGGGATGGGGGGAGAGAATCCTGTTTGGGGGAATTTAGCACAGCTGCTAGAAACAGAGGTGTCCAAACCAATACAGCCTATCCGTAGAGTCAAATATAATTTAGGGAAGTTTCTATTTGCATCTTCTCAAATAATCCCCAGCATGTGCATGTCTGCCTGCGTTGTTGAGAATACGCAAAAGAAACCAATCCCAAAGCAATTCAGTGAGATGGGCTGCAAGGTGGCTGAATAACGCAGAGAAACCTGTAGTGCAGAGAGGAAGAACTTATTACCCTCCAAGCATTACTAAGACTACAACTCCCATCATTCCTGGCCAAGAAAGGGGGGCTGATGCTATCTCATGGCATCGAATGAAGAACTCAAAGCAGTGCATAATTGCAATGTAAGTGGAATCCTGCTGAATCAGACCATATATACAATTGTTCCAACATTCTACTTTCTCCAGTGGTGACCCAGAATTTAACTAAGTAGTTGTAAACTGTTCAGAAGTTTTACTTATAAACCACTTAGGGCTTTATTTACAATTAAGTAGCATGTAAATTTTGTTAAATAAACTAGCAGTGTAGCAGTCCTCCTCTATTGTTTGCCAGATGCTGGAGACTGTCCAAGATATACTGTTGTTAAATAAGGAGGCTCCATTTAGCTTACATGCCCACCAGTAGACATTCAACGCAATCCTATGCATCTCTACTCAGAAGCAACCCCACCTGAGGTCAATGGGGTTTACTCCTAAAGAAACAATACCATCCAATATGGCAGCCCCAGTCAATTAACAAATAACTTTCACTACCAATAGCGAATATCTGCTCTCACTTTGTGCAAACTTCATAATGCAGTGTGAAAAGAGTGTGCAAGTTTCACTTGTATTCACTTGTATTGCTGCCTCTGTGTCATAAAGGAGGACACTTTCACTTGCCAGTAGAGGAGAGGAGAATAGAATAGAATAAATATTGACACCAACAAGAGCTATTCAGACAAAGGACTGTGTTGCTTCTTACTTTGTACCCTTTGGGTGGGGCTAACCTTTTTACCAAAATTAAAATGGTCAAATCTTGCTCGCGACTTAAGAGTCATAGAATAGTGCTATCTACTCTTTTGAATCAGAGCTTCTTTTGCTCTGGTGTAAAGTAAATCAAACTAGTCTCCATGCTAGATGATAGATATATCAGACAAACTTCCTCCACGATACGTAGCCAGCAATTTGTTTTTCACTACAGTAGTTTCTGGCAATCTTAACTCAGATGGAACACAGCAAAGATTGCCTGGTAAGAAATGCAAAGTGATTTTTTAAAAAATGGAGGGGGGGGGAGACGTGAGACTGATATATATGGCTGTAAATGCATACTGCAATATATTTATTCCGGGACTCCCCCAATGGTATTCTGATACCTACAATAGAAGTTTTGCCTGCCTGCAGTCACAACCTTTCCTAGACCTGCCATCCCACAAAGGTGCCTGACAATAATAATGATGTTTATATTTATATATTTATATGCCACCCATCTGACTAGGTAAGTATACTTGTGTTAGGGGAAATTGGTTTGCAAAAATTTGACAAAATTGCATACAAACATGGGAATATTATTACAAATTAGCTGATGAATCTTCATGAGGACATTGATGCAAAAATGTGGAGCACTGAAATTATGATGGCGGGGGCAGGGGGAGATAAGAAATTCAAAGAAACTGAAATTACCCCATTGCCCATCCCTGATGGCCATGACTACAAGCAGGCATGTGCCAGCATAGCTCCACATATCCAAGAATCTCGGGAAAACAGGGTTCCCAGTTACATCGAGCCTTGCCAGTATTCATCTCACTTACTTGAATGACTAGAGAAGAGTCTGCAGTCTGGAGAACCACACAAGGGGACGGGGCGTCTATATCTACTAAGTGTGACCCGTGGTCACACCTGTGGCTAAAGCTAACGCCCCGTTTGCAAGCCAAATGTCCTACATTTTAGGAGTAGGCGGGAAATATTGTGTGTGGTTCTACTCATTCCAGTCATATATTTTACGGGCAGGAACATGCCATGAAGCACTTTCAAATGCTGCAAACAGACTGGCGCCTATAGGATAGGGTGGCATATACAGTCATACCTCATGTTACATCTGCTTCATGTTACGTTCTTTCAGGTTACGTCCCGCGGCAACCTGGAAGTACCGGAAAGGGTTACTTCCAGGTTTCACCGCTTGCACATGCGCAGAAGCGCAAAATGATGTCACACACATGCGCAGAAGTGGCGAATCGCAACCCACGTGTGCACAGATGCACTGCTGCGGGTTGCGCTCTTTTCATGTTGCGAACGGGCCTCCGGAACGGATCCCATTCGCAACCAGAGGTACCACTGTAAACAGTTAGGCAGATCAATGTGGTACAACCAAATAGTTTTCAGGACAGGGGGGCCGATGGGGGCAGTCCGTCCTGGGTGTCAGCACTGGGGGGGGGGGGTGACAAAATGCCAGGCGGAACTCGCCGCTGGGCCTGAAGCATGCCTGAGCTACGCATCTCTTCTGGGAGTGACACAGTGGCTTGGGCGCCCCAAACGGTCCGCCCACCACCTCCTCCTCAGCTGTAGGGTGGCTGAGTGGGAGGAGGCAGGCAGATTCCTCGGAAGCCCCACAGAGCGTCCTGCCCCAGCTTGCCCCGTCCCATGGGCCCCAGGCGCCCAATTGGCTTGCTCTGCTGCTGGTTCAGGACTGTCTACACCAGAGGAAGGACAGGAGCCACATGCCAGTGGTAGGCAGGGCCAGCGGTAAAAGTGGGTGGAGCAACAGATATAAAATTGACCTCTATTCTCCATTCAGGTAACCAGGAATCAATAAGAAAGATCAAGGTCACACTCCGGACAAGTAAAAACACTCAGGCAGGGCAGGGGCGGATTCAGGTTTTCTGAGGACCTAAGCTATTGAAGGTAATGGGGCCCTTTATACGTCCAGCTGTCCTTTGTCAACAACAAATTGTCACTGTTTTTTTGTGTTGAATATATGCAACATGGTGATTTATGGACCTAATAGGTATTTAAAGCCATTTGCACATAACAAAATGTGTATTTTATCAAAGTAATTGTTGAACTGAAATACAATTAAGAAGAAGTATATTAACAGTGAAATACAATTAAGAAGTATATTAATAGTGAACACAAAACACTGTTGCTGTATGTAGGTTTTATTTTATTTGTTTTTTATCTTATATTTTGGAAATGTACACCCAGGTGTTTTTCCCCTTTAATTTTTTTTTTGGGGGGGGCCAAAGAGAGTGGGGGCCCTAAACTATAGCTTGTTTAGCTTATATGTAAATCTGGCACTGAGGCAGGATGTGAAGTGAGTCTGGGGAGGAATGTGGTCTAAGGAGAGTCCCATGGCCCAGACAGAGATGCCTTTAACCCCCGGGCTCAAGGTTTATGCTTCACACAAAACAGATCCAGGCTTGCATGGAACTATATCATGCATGAAAACATATTGTGCCCAAAATGCAATGACCTGATGGCAAAGTGCTGAACTGCCAGGTAACAAGTCAGAGAATCCAAGTTATTTGTCCTGACAAAGGACCATTCAAGTCAATGAGACTAGTGCATTGTCAGTGCCCTCGTAGTTTTCCCTATCTCAGACCCTATTTTCCAGGGACAGTCCCGGATTTACAGAAACTGTCCCAGTTTCTGGTTTGATCCCAGAATGTCCTGCTTTTCTTCAGAGAAATGTTGGAGAGTATGGAGTTATCCGCTCCTGCCAACCTAGCAGTTCAAAAGCACATCAAAGTTCAAGTAGATAAATAGGTACCGCTCCGGCAGGAAGGTAAACAGCGTTTCTGTGTGCTGCTCTGGCTTGCCAGAAGCAGCTTAGTCATGCTGGCCACATGACCCGGAAGCTGTACACCAGCTCTCTCGGCCAGTAAAGCGAGATGAGCGCCGCAACCCCGGAGTTGGTCACGACTGGACCTAATGGTCAGGGGTCCCTTTACCTTTACCTTTACCTTTACCTTACCTATGGAGTTATCCAACCCATGAGCCAATTAGGTAAGTAACTATACAAACTTTAGAAGACATCTGAGGGCAGCCCTGT